TGTGCATGGATAACATTCCAAATCTGTTGCTAATTCCTCTTATGTTTTTCTTTTTTTCTATCTCATGTTTTGTTTGAAAACACCAGGGATGTGGGCAGAGTGGAAAAAGTCAACTTTTGCCACCCCTCTGAACGTGAGAACTATTTTTGTTTCTGCCCAGAGACCTGAGCGGTGCGGTGTGTTCATTTTTTTTTTTCCAGGTGGTCACTGGAGTAGCAAGTAGTAGGAAAGTGGACTGTGTTTGTGTAGCTTCATGTGGTGGTATATTCTATAACAGTACAGTCTGTCTTTTTATTATTTCATACAGTTGAAGAAATTCAACAATGTAATATTTATGGTTAGCTATGAGACCACACTAGTTCCTTCAAGATAGTGTTGCTGTGATTGCAGAAACTGGTATTGTAGCCTTTAGAGAGACATGGGATCATCTGGTCTCATCTGGTCCTGAAACAATTACTTGATTAATGGACAGAAAATTTATTTTTAGAATAGATTGAGTCTCTAAACATTAAGAGCTTCCAGCCTCTGTAATGTGAGGACTTTTCTCTGTTTTGCTTGATTATAAAACAGATGCCTTTTGGGGTTGACTTTACCTTGGGCTCTTGAAAAATATGTATTGTTTTTTTCTTGATATCATACGGAATAAACGATTGATAAAGAAAGATAATTTGTTACAGAAGATAAATCAATAATGAAAATAACCATTGAATCTCATCTTTCCGTCTTTGGTGGCCATTTCTTATTCCCAGAATTCCATAAAGGATCTGTGGGACTGAACAATTCCTGACTGAAGTCTAAGATGAGGTGACATTTCTCCTAATAGGGAATGAGAAGAAAGGAGTGAGAGGAGATTTTAAGGTCTTCTGAGGACATCTTTAAGCAGTGGACACGGATAAGTGACGATAGCAGGGTGTGGCTCATTTTTACAGCCAAGGTGTTGTCTCAGTGGTCTGGGTGGAGGTCAAATGCGAGTCCCAAGACTTGGAGCTGAAGTTTTCCTCCTTACGCATGATGTCACCGATCTCACAGCTCTCTGACGGTACAGCACATATGCAGGGAGGGAAGGAGTTCCCTAAGGATACTTACAGCAGCTGCACCACTCTTCCCTTCTTCATTTCTCCGCCCCCAGTCTCCCCAGAGAGGAAGCAGGCCTCATCCTCAAATATCACAAGTAAAGGACTGCTGTCCCCTGCCCGTGCTCTCTGACTGCACCCGTTTAATCAGGTGTGGCGATGTTTGTTTTTACTGCAACGTCCTCACTATAACCCAGCCTCAATCTGAGCGCTGGAATAACAGGAAGGGTAAAAGATTGCAATTACAATGGTAGCTAGACTGGGAAAGGCCATGAGTGTCACAGATGAGTGAGGCAGGGACATAGTCGGGGAGTGGGACAAGATAGCACCATTAAAAATATACCTACCCTTATATCTTCAGCGCACATACACAACCTGTTTTGCTGCAGCTGCTTGCCACTGAGGCATAGTGGAGGGTGATAGAAACAGGCGGAGCATTGTGCGTTGTGTTGCAGTTAACAATCCATTCATGCAGCTTGCGGATGCCTCTGTTTCAGCTGAAGGCAATCTTGCTGATTTTTGGTGCAAAAAATCCTGTTAAAGGCCACACTGAGAGAAAAACAAAAAGATTTATTTTGCTGTTACTACAAACAAGCCCAACAGGAACAAGAAGCACAAGCAGTCAGATGATCATAGAATCAAGTTTTTGTGTTTTTGTGATCTCCGGCTACCCTGGAGCATTCAGTAGTGTGCCGTGGACTGAGGTAGGAAAGCAACGACTGAGCAGTAGATAAGTGGCAGAATCAAGCTGTGTGCGTGCTATGATACCATGATAGCATCAGCATTTTACACTCCCTCCAGAGACACTTATGCACTCTCTTGCTGTGTGTGTGTGTGTGCGTGCGTGCGTGTCTGTCTGTCTGTCTGTCTGTCGGTCTGTCTGTGTGTGAAGGGGAGTTGGAGGAAGAGAGTTGAGAGGAAGTTGTCTGGAAGGAAACAGAACCAAATGTAAAAAACAAATATAGGACCTGGCTTTCATAACAACGTCAGTATGTAAATCGATGATAAGAAACGATCTCCCCCTCCACCTTATCTCCCCCCCGAGTCCACTATAGTCTGGAATACCTCGTATATATATGGTTTACCACCTAAACCCTCAGGAGCCCTCACATCTGTATGTGTTTGTGTCTATCTCAGCCTTGTCATTTGATTTATTTTTCAGTGTGGACAACCACATACTATATCCTGGAATCCAGGCAGTGAGTGATGATGTGCAATAAAGGGTTGTCAATTCTGTAATGACCTTTCTTAATCCATTTCTCTCCATATATAATCCACTACAGTCAGCTGTGAAATTCTTGACAATCTTCCAGGGGGCCTAGGGCTGCTTTATTTATGGATGTGATATCTAATATGTTTATAGTGTAACTGACTTTTAGGAGTTGCCTACATTAGCTACATGAAATACAGTTGGACCTTCAACTCAGTAGCTGCAACACATTCCAGCAGCACGTCAACAATAACTGTTGCGTCGGTGTAAATCTTCCCACACAGAACAAAGCATTTGCCATTGGCTACGTGTACCAATTATGTAAGCAGGCTTTAAGCATCCACCAAATTACAGTTGTCATTTGCTGGTGAAATATCTGCCTTTGTCCTGCTTTATAATTGCTGTTTCTTTGTCCAACCACAGGCAAAAAGAAATGCAGCATTTGAACTGTCACTCACAATCCTGAGCCTGTGTCGTATATCCCCTCTTTAACCTGTGATTTAGTTCTTTACATCTGGCGTGGCTACACACCACACACCACGTCAAAGGCTGGAACACCCAGGCTGAAAGATTCAAGGAGGACAGCCAGGGCAGGAAATCCACTTGACGTAGCCCGGTAGTGAATAGAGGAGGGAAGAGCAAGATTTACTTGAACTCAGAGGTTATTTAGTCTGCAGCCTTGGCCGTGTGCTCTCTGAGTCCATCAAAAACTCTCTGGAGAGAGACCAAGGTTGTGTTTATGGACTAGGAGTGTTGCATGTGTTGCTCTGTGTTGAGACAAGAGGTCCTAAGGCTTTCGTGCTGATGCTGAGAGGCCTGGCTGGAAACACCGTGAGATTTGTCTTAAGCGTCTGTGTCCACAGTGGTTGAGTGTAAGTGTCTATAAACTTCTCAAAACACAGTGCACAGAGTTTAAGCATGTGACAGTTTAAAGTGAGTAGATTGGTGAGTATGTATGTGTCTCTCCTGTATCCAGCCCAGTATCTGTATTTGTGCAGAGTCTGTGCATGTAACGGGTGTTTAAACAAGAGAAGCCATTAATACAATGATTTATATTTTTAAGAAACTGAGGAGGTAAAAGCTTTAAAACATAAATAAGCAGGCGTATTCCAGTCAGCACTGAATACTTAACTGGTTATACAATGAAGTGCTTTAAAAACATTCCATAGATACTGTTTGTCCTAAGAAAATCTTTATGCCTATGAGGCACAAACTGAGACACTAGGTTAATTCAGTGGCATGGAGGCTAAACACTATTACACTATTAAACATAGCAGCTCAAGCTGAAGGCTGAATGAATGAATCGTAGGCTCTAATAGCACAATGAAACATTAGGATCTGTGCCCAGTTGGACCAGTTAAAATGCAGCATATAACCAGCTTTGGACAATGTTCAGCCAGTTGACGCCACTGTTGAGATAAAAGGCACTGCAGGGGGGGACCATATGTTGGACTCGTACTATCATGGTGGCCGCTTGGGATGTAAAACTACCTTTTGTTTGGGTGCTGATATTCCTACGAGGAGCTGCAGACTTTGTTAAAGTCAGTCATGTTTATAGGATTGCAAACGCACACAAAACATCTACATGCATCACATTTATATAAATGTACCTTGTGTTTAACGAAACAATGGCAGTGGTGCACCAAACACATTTTCCCTCTGATTGCAGCATAGTTTTGGTTAGATGTTAAACTGTTTACACACTATGCTGGTTTCCTTCCATGCCGAGGGGCGTGTTTACAAATGATGGTGCAGGAGGAATTGATATACAATGCTGTAAATCCTGAATTATATTGGAAAAGCTAAATTCCTCTCTTTTTGATTGGCCGTGCGATCCCTGATTGGGCCTGAACACTCACTGATACTTCTTCAGTTATCATGCATGGCTGTGGAAGTGGGAGCGGAGGTGATGGGCTCGGTTGTACTAGAAAGAGTGTTTTTGTGTGTGTGTGTGTGTGTGTGTGTGTCTGTGTGTGTGCGCGTGTGTATGTGTGTGTGTGTGTGACAACACATCACAAGTTAAAATGTTTGCTCTGTAATTGAACGAGACAGTCTAATAACATAATCCACTTTGTTAGATCAGCCATCTACCCATTAAATTCAAAAAAACTCACATGGATTATGAATTTGGCAAATGCTTTCCTATGTTTTTTAACCATGCTATGTCAGAAAGTTTTTTGAGCACCACCCAACTTAATCCCAAGATTATCACAGAAACAGGATTTCTCCTGGAGGACGGATTTGTAGTCGAGAGGCCGCAACCTTTTGACTGAGCTGTTTATTTGCGTAGGCTGCAGACGGTGAGAATTAGCCCATATGTGACCACCAATTAGTTAGAGCCCCTGAGCACACGTGCCAAATTAGTTTGCGCATCTCTGGGTTGGGCATGGCCAAGCTGTTCAAACCAATCCTCTGCCCTGACCTCATTCACTTATTCCACTGAGTGTGTGCTGGAAATTTCATCCCAAAATACCACACATATTTACATACAGTAAGAACAGTGGGATCTGATTATGGCCAGGAAGAACTAGCTGTGATTTTAGGATTGTTGTTTTTTTTTCCCATATTCAACACCAAGTGATTTCAAACTGTGATGTGTTGCTGCAATTTGCGTCAACATTCGTACTTCTTCTTTCATCATACTTACTTATACTCTCTCTCTCTCTCTCTCTCTCTCTCTCTCTCTCTCTCTCTCTATGTCTCTCCATTCCTTGCAGATAAAGTGATATGTCAAGAGGATGGAGCAACAAATGCTCCAGCCCAATCTACAGCTGATCCATCTGCAGCTGATCCAGCTGCATCCGATCCAGCTATAGACGTCAGTGCTGGTAGGAGCCTCAATAAATGACAATCAAGATTAGCACTGGGGACCTGACAGGGATTTTTGAGAAGTTATTTCAAAGTTATTTCTCTCTATATTCCCATCTGAGAGAGGCCATCATGCTATAGTGACATTACAAGGGACAAACACCTTGACACATTCAGTCAATTAGTTAAATCGTATGCACAGCCAGTATGTGGTCTGTGTGTAATGGGATTGTACATGTATTTTGTTCTTAGGGCCAGTTGCTGCAGCTCCGGATGCCACTGTTGCCCCCACTGTGGGTGACGCTGCCACTGCTGCTGGTGGTGCAGACTCTGTTCCTTCTGCAGTTCCTGGAGATAACCTGTTCCCTGCAACTATTGTAAACATTGCGGTTGATAACAGCCAGGATGGAGAGACTTCAGGTACCTCTGGGACCACCCCTGCCCCCCTTGGCAGAGTCAATGAGGTGCCTGAAGTCGCTGAGGTACCAGATGACTCCCATGTTGTTAGAGTGGTGGTGAGTACCTGCCTGTACCATGTTCAGATGGTGCATTTCTACTTCTCAACATGTAAATTATTTCTGTAAAAGATAGCACATTTGTTTTGAAGGGATGACTGATGCTGTGGTTACAACCATATGTGCAAAGTGTGCTGTCTTTTTCTGACCTCATTTGTCTATCTGACCTGGCTTATTGTCTCCACAGCCTAATGTGCAGTGTGTTGGAAAAGAGGACATCCCAGAGAGCAATGCTGTCAGGGCTGTGGTGGTAACAGACGACTGTGTGAGTACGAGTTTATCATTACATGAATTTTACTGTAGAAATACGATATTCTCATGATATATCCATCCTCCACCGCCGACGTTACATTCTACCACAACCTTTATGTCATCCTGCTTGTAACAATAACCCTCATCTCCTCACTGCCAACCACAGGCAGCATCCAACTACCAACAGCTGAGGTTTTTTTTTACCTTGCAACATTAAAGACCACAGTGAAATAAAAGCAGGGCGCTGATGTCAGTTTACCATCTATTGACACATTCTCTTAACCAAGACCTTTTTCTGGCCCTGTACACCTTTGGGTCCAGTGGGAGTGGCTTACTCTGCTTAGAAGAAGAGGAAGATTAATGTGTTTTAAAGAGCTACGGTTGGAAATATGGCCCTGATAAAGGCAGCTCTTTTCTCAGACATTCCTCAGGCGTTGTAAATCTTTAGTCTGTGTTCCTGGCGGGACACAAACGAAGAGGACAGCTAATGGTTCCTCCTCTCGCTCTGAGGTCCTTATGGCAAAAGGAGGATTTGCAAGGGTGTGGCTTCATTTCGCTGTTTTTTTTTTTAATATATTTTTTTAAAAAAAGGGGTGCTTTTCAGATTTTGTCACAAGCGGAAGACATTAAGTTAGATATCTGTGTCTCTAGAAAATTTCATATTTGGAGCCAACTCTTACACTGCTAAATCCTACTTGCATGAACAGCTGTTAGATGATGTGTCAAAACACCACAAACACGACATGTTCCAATACAACTGATTGTTGCATGGTACAGTATGCCAGTCCAGGTGCACAAGAGCTGAAGCAGCAGGTCAGATTCCAGTCCGCATACTTTAGTTAGCCTCTATTTGGGTCCATTACTGTAACATCCACAGAGCCAGGACCAGCTGCAGAAGTCATCTGTCCAACTCACCCTGAAACTAAACATGAACTGCGGTGCCAGAGGGCTTAGCCAGCTGATGATTGGTTCAAAATGCAGGCAAGAGTGAGTGAATGGCACGAAAGACCTTGATAAAAGAACAGCTTGTATCAATGGAACAAATTCGATAAAGCAGCAAAAGGTCTTTTTCATACCCTTGTAAATCCCCAAGTCATCAGTCCATATAAAAGGAAGTGTCAAATATAACAAAATATAAAATAAAACATATACTGTTCTCCTTCTTTATACATTATTTCAGCATCAAATGAGGCATTTGTGTTGGTTAAATATTTTTCGTCAAATGTGAACCTACTGTATTTCATCTGAACTCCAGGCACGGGTGCCACACCACGTAAGGTCAAGCAGAGCAAGTTATGAGACAGTGTAGGACTCCTGAGAGCAACATGTGACACAGACAGATGGAGAAGAGGTTCCCCGGGAGTGATTCGAGTTCAGCCTTCCTGAGTGTCTCCCACCCTTCCTCAAAGATCTGGATGTTACAGCAGAGTCCAGCTGTGGGCCCACTCCCAACTAACTGAGGATTCAGGGTTTTCTCATAGTGGTCCTTAGGGAACACTGGGAGCTGTCTGGATCACATTACAGAAAATGAAGAGTGTTCCCCAGTCACAAAGCCTAAAAGTTGTGCAATGAGGTGATATCATAGCTCGGGTTAAGGTGGGAAAATAGAAGGTGTGGTCAGCAAGTTTTCCATCCAAATGCTTTTGGTCTCCATTGCACAGTCAAAGGCCTACGTGCGCTGATGGTCAGCAGGGAAAAATTTCAGAACCACATTAGATTGTTGGCCCTCATGGGTCTGTATATGAAGGAAGCTGAACACTGAAAATTGGCAATTTGGTCAGACTTTTGCCGCACTTCCCTCTGACATACAAATCCTTTCTTATAGGAGGCCACTAAACGCATTATTCAGGAAAACCCTGCAAGCTGGTGCCTCACGGAAAACTGTAATCTCGATATCTTCCAAGATGGCAACAACGTGCTGGTGGCCAGCAAAGAGGGTGGGTGTTGATGAGATATATTTATATATAATGATATGCACATGCCAGTTTCATTTATTTGTGACACTTAAGGTTACAATACATTCTTGTTGTATGGTTTTGCAGCAAAACAATATATATTCCTTTCTTATTAAGTACTGATATATTTGTAATATTCATTGCCCCTGCAGCTGGGCTGGGATCTTTGGCTGCAGCACTCCAGAGTGAACATTTGAAAGACAAGGTAAGAGAACTGTAGTTGCTGCCAGCTTGATTATGATATTGTGTAGGTCCAATAACCTTGAAACCTACTAAGAAAAGTGAGGCAAATCCTTTGCTGTAAGGCTTGTGAGTGAAAATTGAACCCGGGTTACTACAAATTCGAATCAAATTCAATCCAATCAAATTAAACAATTCCCTGGACCTAAATTGACAGCCTGCTTCATGGCTCAACTTGAAAAGAATGATTTTGTTTCAGATGCCTTGAACTCACAAACATGACCCCTTTTGACCACAATCTCATCTCTTCAATTTGTTTTCAGCTGGGTGTGACAAAAACAGAGACCCCGTCATCATCAGGTTCCTCAGTATTTGTTGGAGTACTGGTCTCTGGTCTGCTCGCTGCCCTGGGCATCACTGCTGGTTACTTCAAATGCCAACGCAGGCCTGACCCCAAGGGAGTGAGGCTGGTAAGCACATTTTCTCATTTTCTGTGAAGAATGGACGTACAACAAACTGCACTATATGTTGCCACTATGGACCTGATTTGCTTATTCTCTGCCTTTACGTGAGTTGATACATTATTGGAGACTCAGCCCATGAATTGAAAATCATTGCATAGACACTTAGTCATGAGCGTGTGTATGGTTCTGATTTGTTCATTTGAAATCTTTCTACTATAATACTGTTGGGATTGACTTTACATATGACCTGCAGATGTGTTTTATCATAAATATGTCATTTTTTCAACATATATTGTGGGTGTCTGCAGTCGCTGCAGTCATTAGAGATTCAGTAACACTATGCATACATTTTCTTGGGCAAGGTTCATGTCTTACTACATCTGAAATCAAAACAGGTCGATTTCCTTTTACTTGTGAATGAGTCGCTGCCAGTTTTTTAATTAGGGAATGTGGCTGGCCAGCTATCAGAGGGAATACACAGAGAAAGAGAGAGAGTGTGCCTTATCCAAAGACCCACGCCCTGCCTTATTCATCGGGTTTCATCTAGTAACCAGACACAGCTGTTTCTCTGCACCACTCGCACTATCACGTGATGCAGAACCACATTAGAGGGTTTGTTTGTGTGTGTGTGCGTGTGTGCATGTGTGTGTGTGTGTTTTTAAGTAAAAGTGGGATAGTGGGTGCATCTGTGTACATACAGACGGGTGACAAATTAAAGGAACGACTCGAAGAATGAGTGGGAAAGCAGGATGACAACGCCCCCATCCAGAGGGCACGAGGGTCACTGAATGGTTTGATGAGTATGAAAATTAATCGTATGCTATGGCCTTCGCAGCCACCAGACCTCAACCCAATTTAATACCAGCATCATCAGAACACAAATTGAGGGGATGTCTTTTGGAAGAATGTGTGTTCCTTCCCTCCAGTAGAGTTACACAGACTTGTAGAATCAATGCCAAGGAGCATTGAAGCTGTTCTGGCAGCAAACGGTGGCCCAACACCTTATTAAGACACTTTATGTTGGTTTTTCCTTTAATTTGTCACCCGTCTGAATGTGTTTTTATGTGCATTTGATCATCAAATCAAATGATTCATTTTAACGTAAGCAACATTGAAATAACAAAGAGGTGACAGCTGCTTTACAGCTACTTCACTCTGCTCACAAGCAATAAGTGTCTTGTTACCCAGGTATTTTCCATCTTGCCTTTTCCATAATGAGTTGTTACTTTGTGCTGTATTTGTAGGCAGAGGAGGCCTATCCAGTAGATCAGGAGAACCAGGGGAACACTCTTGTATCTGTGGCTCCCCTCAACCCCCCTCCAGAAACTCAGGAGAAACCCAGCGTAAACGGAGAGTCCCCCGAGGCAGCCAAGACCCAGCCTCCCCCTCCCACCAATGGCCACTCCACCGCCAAGACAGCAGACACTGAGCTGTGAAATAGTCTATACCAGTCCGTCGCAGCCCAGGAACTACCCCCACAAACACACCCAATCCACACACATGCCTATGAAAACTCACCTCCTTTTCTGAATCCACTCCTGCCCTGCCTACACAGCAAAGTGGACACCAGGAACTAGAACAATCTCCTACATCAACACCTCCTCTTGTTATGGTCCCCTTGCCTCCTCCTTTGGCTACGTGCCTCAACAAACATCGGGAAAACTAGCCTGATGATGATGATGATGACGACGATGGTGGGTGATGATCTATGTCGATGACGACGAAGGCTCAGTCGCTTGGTTGTTGATGGCAGTCAGGCTGGAGGCGAGACACAGAAGATGGGCAGTTTTGGGTGGGGATAAAGTGTATTTTAGCATTAATCAGCACTGGCTCCCATGACGACTGCAACCTCTGGAGTCACAGCCATGTGCTGTCTACACCCAGCAGGGTCTCTTTTTGTCGTCAGGTTTAAATCGTCCACTCGAAAATACAGTATAAGCACATAAGTTGATAGACAGAGAGGAAGAGAATCACACTGCCTTGAAATCTGTTTACAAACTTGTCAGAGAGGAAATCCCTTGGGCTCTCATTTTGTTTGATTGAGTTATTGCTTGTGTAGGTTTGCGATTGTGTGTGTGTGTGCGTGTGCTGCTGTCAAATCCCGCTTGTGTGTGTTAACATATACTTGCATTTGTACTGTGCATGGACTGTATATATCTATACATGCATCTGGGCTTTTCTCGCTTACTGTATGTACTGTGTGCATGTGTGATGAGGAGTGAAAGAGTTGAACAATGAGTTTGAATGTGCATGTGACATTAGCCATGAAAAGTGTACAGTTTTGTAAAACCAGTTGACAAAGTGATGGCTCACCGAATTACAGACGGTCACCGTGACGATGAGGAGGAAGGAGTATCGTAAAGTTTCAATCACACCATTTTTTTTTTTTTTTTTTGGAAGACGGAATTCTCTAATCTGCTACTGCAAAAACCAAAGTGTGATCCATCACAAAAGTTTGCAGGCCCCTTTACAGTGACTTCATAGTTGCTACTGAAAATCATGAGACTGACTTATCTGACCAACAGATACATAAAGGCCTCAGCCTCTGTCATCTCTGTCCATCCATTTGTCAGTGTTATTCTCTTTTCAATATACTGTATAAACTCTTTTTACTATCAGTATTCTATTGCGCAGTGTGTATAGAATGGTGACTTTTTTCTCTCGTTTTTATCTATTCCTGCTACGTTCATTTTATGTGCCAAAGAATTTCATATCTTATGTTGTACTAAAATATGTACTTTGTGGAACCTTTACAATGTTTGATCCAGTTCGTATACGATACAGAAGATGCTCAAGGGCTATGACTGTTTGAAAGATGGGTTCAGTGGCCTGTAAGTTCAGCTGACGTCAGTTTTTACTGACATACCAGAGGAAAAAAAAAAAAGGAAAATTTATTTTATTTTTGCCAAACTGGAACAAAGAAAACAATTCTGTCATATAAATGGGATGTCTCACATTGATTTGTCCTTTCAGTGAATTTTGTATCTTTTCATTGCTAACATTCCAGCGTGACTGTTTCATTTTACTAGCAACGTACGTAGTTTAAATTGGATTTAACATGAAAAAAATAAAAAGCAAGAAAATGAACAACTTTTTATGAATTGCCGTGTTTTCAGCCTCATTGTTGGAGAGAGTGAGAGTGAAAGAAACAACTTGTAGGGTTTCTAACCACAGAAACCGTATAGTACATAGACACACATATGCACAGGCACTTACACATATGTCACATACACATACATCAGTCTGTGCTCTAACACACTTGGAATTTAAACCCGCACAGCCCATAAGGTCACACATCAGCTGGTTTTCATAAGCAGTAGTAATGACATCACTTCACACTGTTTTGTCTTTCACAGTTTGGGTGGGGCAGTGAAAACATCCCTCAGCTGTCTTTTCTAAATGTTTAGGACATGCTGATGAGTACCATGTCGGTCTAGGGTCTACTCACTATCCATCATCATGTTCATATATGTATTTTTAATTCGGTTTCTGTCACCATCCACTCTAGGGACAGTGTGACTCGTTTATTTCCCATCCATTCACACCCCTTCTTTCATCACAAGATCAAGCCCGATGTGAATTTCTACCCTGCCCTATCCTCTTCCACACCCTACACGGAAAATATTTCCTCAAGGCCATTTAGCGGCACTGTGAAACAGTCCTGTTGTCACTATATGCCACAACCGTAAAGAAACACATACCATAGACATAATGTATATAAATTATGTTAAATGTTGACATCTACAACCCGAGACTGGTCTATTGCTGCATGGTTCAAATTTAAAAGGCGTAAATCCCTGTGGACATGGACATTACTGTATGTAGGCTACTGTACTATATGTACACTCATGCATGCCTGTTATTTGCAGCCTATTAGACCTTGAACTCTTTAATGTGAATACTCAGCTAGGATCATCTTACTTTACAGTGTCCAGAATAAAACCATCAGCCATGTAGCAATATCGAGTTCACCTCTCTTGTAACTGTCTGCTCCACATTCACTCATTCCTCTGGCTATAGCTTCACTCAAATGACACAAAAACATCCATATATTCCCACTCACCCCTAATAGTGTCTAGCTATAGCAGATTTATGTGCCCTCTTTTTGAGATATGCATCCCTGGCTTTTCTGCCACTGCCCCAATACAGGAGATGAAGATGAACAGAATTTAATTTGTGCACCCTGCAGCACTGAGACCTTTCATTGGAACCAATCTCTAATGAAGAAATAGTCCCATGAAAATAGCTTACGAAGTGCTGTGTAGTATATTTTGTTACTGGAAAGAGATGATGTTGATTCTTTTTTTTTTTAAATTTGTGAGTTCTTATGAGCACCACAAATTAAACTATTAAACCATCATTTCACCATTTAACTCCATTGCATTGGGGTCTCTAGCAGAAATGACAGAGCCAGCCTGAATGGCCAGATACCACTAGAAGTAAATGATTTGTAATTTGGACCCTTTAAATTTCCCACCCATCGGCCCCTGTACCCCTACAGTACATCACTCCAAATCCTCTCCTTTACAGCTTTTCTTCAATGTCACATAAATACTCCAGCTACAGTCTGCTCCCCTCCCACCCTTCATCTCATCCAGCTCTTAGTTTCTCCACCCCTCTACTCCTACGTCCAGCCAAGAGTAGTGTATGTGCAGTGGAATCTGGGATTATGAACAAAACTCAGCTGGTTGTTTTTATTGTGGGGAGGCTCCCCCCTCAGCGTAGTTACAGCTGCCAAATACGTCATGTTTTCCCTTTCCATGCCAAAGCACACCCCTTCTAAACTCATTGATGGTAAGATAACATTGGGTGGAATGGAAGGGTGGGAGGTAGAAAAGAGCACTCAAGAGACATAGCGAGACCCTGAGGTCAGGAGGTGTAGTCTGCATAGTCAGTCTGTGATGAAAATTAAAAGCTGATGAACTTTCAGGTTCATGAAAAGGTTAGAAGGATACCAAGAGGCCATTAGCGAGATATCCTACCAAGTCTTTGATCTTGCATGAAAAATAATTTGAAACATTAGGTCACAATTTTGTGGTAAAACTAATAACAACATAAATATTTTTTCAACAAACCCCTCATAACTGTTTCATAATCTTCCTGAGTTTCCTGTTCTAGAAGAAAATACAATAAGGAATGCTTACCAACTTCCTTCCTCTCTGGAAGATCATGCATGGTGTTTATCTGACTGTGAAACAGTGAATAAGACAACATAACCTATCAGGAGCTTAGGCGATAACAGGATAATATCTGTTAACAGATACTCCAACTACAAAAATGCATCAAATTCATTCAATTTTTTTTCAACCAAGCATGAAAAAGAAAGCAGCAAATTTAGGGGCATAGGTTTAGTCTCAACATTGATAGGCACGCAAAAACCCTGCCACCTCTCCAAAACAAAGAAACAGACTTTTTACTGATGTCAGCCAAACGGTTTATATTCACATAAGATCTGAATTTACATTCAGAAATGCCCATACGCAAATTTAATGTAACTATATGTATGGAAATTCCATATATGAAATATATGTACGTATGAAGTAAAATCATACATGTCTATAAAATATAGACTTTATATGTAAAATTTAAATATGAAACCTTTTTGAAATTGGAACAATATCGTATATTGACATATGTGTCTACCTAATAGAAACGTGTGTTTAGTATGTATGTTTATATTACTAACATGTTACATAAATATATATCCATCCCAAAGACTGTCAGTGTGTGTTCATAATATGTATGTAAATATAAAAGTTAGAGATGTTCGTTTAAATAAAATAAGAAATTATTAAGAAAATCATATACAAACTTACAGAATTTGAGTTAGGATGTTGTGTTAATGAAGTTGCATTTTATGTCATGTATAACATCATATATCCAGATTAAATATATAAGAGATAATTATATATCCTCTTAAATGTGACTTATATCTCTATATAACTCTTGATATAGGGATATTTATATATATATGATATAAAAAGTCGTAAAAACGTCATAGTATGGTAAGGAATAACACCACATACTATAGGAAGGCATAAAAATTAAAAAAAACATCATAGTATATTAAAGCATAAAAGGTCATAAAAATGTCATAGTATGGTAAGGCATCAACAGAAATAGTATTGTAAGGCATAAAAATGTGAAAAAACGTTGAAGTAATGTATGCCATAAAAATGTCAAAAACGTCATAGTATAGCATGGCTTAAAATGTCAAAAAAACATCATGGTATATTAAAGCATAAAAGGTCATAAAAACATCATAGTATGGTGAGGAATGAAACGACATAGTATATTAAGCCATCAAAATACCAATTAACGTCAGAGTATAGTAGGGTATGAAAATGTCCAAAAATGTCATAGTATAGTATGGCATAAAAATTCAAAAAGACATTATAGTATATTAAGACATAAAAGGTAATAAAAACATCATAGTATGGTAAGGAATGAAACGATATAGTATATTAAGCCATCAAAATACCAATTAACGTCAGAGTATAGTAGGGTATGAAAATGTCAAAAAATTTCATAGTATAGTATGGCATAAAAATTCAAAAAAAATCATAGTTTTTAATGAATAAACGGTCATAAAAACGTCATATACTGGTAAGGCATCAATAGAAATAGTATTGTAAGGTATAAAAAAGTGAAAAAAATTAAAGTATAGTATGGCATCAAAATGTCCAAAAACGTCATAGTATAGTATGGCATAAAAATTCAAAAAAACATCATAGTATATTCATACTTAAACGGTCATAAAAATGTCATATTATGGTAAGGCATCAATAGAAATAGTATTGTAAGACATAAAAAAGCGAAAAAACATTAAAGTATAGTATGGCATAAAAATGTCAAAAAACATCATAGTATATTAATGCATAAACGGTGATAAAAACATCATATTATGGTAAGGCATCAATAGAAATAGTATTGTAAGGTATAAATAAGCAAAAAACATTAAAGTATAGTATGGCATTGAAATGTCAAAAAACGTCATAGTATAGCATGGCTTAAAATGTTAAAAAAAACATCATGGTATATTAAAGCATGAAAAGTCATAAAAACATCATAGTATGGTAAGGAATGAAACAACATAGTATATTAAGCCAAATACCAATTAACATCAGAGTATAGTAGGGTATGAAAATGTCAAAAAATTTCATAGTATAGTATGGCATTAAAATTCAAAAAAACATCATAATATATTAATGCATAAAAAGTCATAAAAGCGTCATAGTATGGTAAGGAATGAAACGCCATAGTATTGTAAGGCATAAAAATGCCAAAAAACACCATGGTATATTATGGCATGAAAATGTCGAAAAACGTCATAGTATATTAATGCATAAACGGTCATAAAAACGTCATATTACAGTAAGGCATCAATAGAAATAGTATTGTAAGGCATAAAAAAGCGAAAAAATATTAAAGTATAATATGGCATAAAAATGTCAAAAAATGTCATAGTATAGTATGGCATAAAAATTCAAAAAAACATTATAGTAAATTAAGACATAAAAGGTCATAAAAACGTCATAGTATGGTAAGGAATGAAACAACATAGTATATTAAACCATCAAAATACCAATTAATGTCAGAGTATAGTAGGGTATGAAAATGTCAAAAAATGTCATAGTATAGTATGGCATAAAAATTCAAAAAAACATTATAGTAAATTAAGACATAAAAGGTCATAAAAACGTCATAGTATGGTAAGGAATGAAACAACATAGTATATTAAGCCATCAAAATATCAATTAACGTCAGAGTATAGAAGGGTATGAAAATGTAAAAAAATGTCATAGTATAGTATGGAATAAAAATTAAAAAAAACATTATAGTATATTAAGACATAAAAGGTCATAAAAACGTCATAGTATGGTA